ACACATCTAATTCTTCCAAGAAGTTACCTAGTGGTCCTGGGGGTCGATAAACAACTACAAAATGAATTTTAAGAGGGTGGGTAACAGTATGAGTATGTGAGTGGAGTGGAGCAGGAGTGGAACATTTTCACCTCCGCGCTCCATGCATTCAATAATCACTCCGCTCCAGCTCCGCTCCGGGTTCACCATTTCCCGCTCCCCGCGTCGCTCCTCGCTCACTGATATCAGAAACACCGCTCCGCGTTAAAGTATTTCAGTATGTTTAAAATATCACAGTTCTGTTCATAACATATGTTAAAATAAAAAAAATGTAATGAAATAACAGAGAGTAGTTTCAAAGTGGCTTATTGTAACACTAGTGTGCAAACCTTTTTCTACCACATGCCAATCTAATTACAGGGTTGTCAGCATTAAAAGCTATCAATGCTGCTTTTTGCAGTGCAAATTTTGTTTGTGAAGGATGCAAATAAAAGTACATTTTCATCAGTCATTTTACCTACGGATTGCAGCAATTTCTTACAGATTTCTGCTCATTCGAAATCAGATACATGAAGTAGCACTGTAAGATTACATTTCATTACTGAGAGAGCGATTGTGTGTGAATAAGTGTCGTACTGGTTTAAATCATGCTTTCACCCGAAAATATTCAGTATCAAAGAACAAACAAATTCCTTGAGAAATAACTTCCTGCTCACATTCATTGCCGTCATCATAAACTTCACATTCTTTGAGTGATCCATCTGTATCAAGCTAGCTAAATATGTTTAACATGAATTCTTGCTAAATATGCAGTTAAATCATGGGCTGTTGGCATGAATTGTACTTGTGATGGAGCGGTAGTGGTCGCTGTGTCCGCCTTCTTACTTAGCACACCCAAAAGCCTATAGCAGGGCAATTGCTCAAATCGAAACTAAAGTTCACATTTAAGTGCAGGAAGGGAGCAATATACATAACAAAAGCTTCTTCTTGGCCGATGGCTATTATTCTAATTACAAACAAGTGCAATCAAAAAATACAAATTACAACCAAAGAATAAAAGTAGAAATTGTTAGAAAATGAAATAATCCTTCTTAACAGCAAGTAACAATTTAAACAACAGATATAAACAAAGTATTAAGGAAACACACACGCTGCCACCTTCTCTGCTGACTAATAGCTTCTCATGCTAAAAACATGCTAATCATGTTAGAAACATTCTAACAACATGCTAAAACACACTAATCATGCTAACAAAATGCTAAACATGCTAACAAATTGCTAATCATACAAGAAACATGCTAACGACATGCTAATCATGCTAGAAACATGTTACCAGGGCAAATTAACCTTTCTCTTGCGTGCTGTAGCTGACCTATTACCAACTCCAAACAACTTGAAGATCTGGGGCAAGACGAGGATCCATCCTGCCATCTGTGTGGAGCAGCAGTGTGTACCCTGAACCACATTTTGACAGGATGTCCCAAGGCTCTAGGAGAAAGATGCTACAGATGGAGACATGATAATGTCCTTGTTGAAATTGCCAAATGGTCAGACTTGCAGAGGAGTAAAGCCAATGAGCATAAAACACTACCACCCAGAGGGGTCAGTTTTCTAAAGCAAGGAGAAAAGTTTCCCAAGTCAAGGAGAACTGATGATTCTGTGCTCTCTATTTTGTATCAAGCATTCGACTGGGAGATGCAAGTTGATCTTAAAAAGAAGCTTGTCTTCCCAGAAGAGGTGGCGGTGACTACACTTAGACCAGATATGGTTCTTCTGTCCAGGAGCACAAAAACCATCATAGTAGTCGAGTTGACTGTGCCCTGGGAGGACAGGCTAGCCATCTCTCATGAGTTAAAGAGGGCTAAGTATCAAGACCTGATCGACGAAGCTTCTATTAAAGGATGGAATGCAGCTTTGTTTCCTATCGAAGTTGGCTGCCGCGGCTTCCCAGCTACATCTGTGCGCTTACTTCCTACAGAAGATTGGGTTGGAACCTAAAAGACTGAGCAAAGCCACCGGGGAGATAGCAGCAGCAGAGACTAGCTCAAAGTGGTTGTGGTCGATGAGAGTTCGTAAGTGGAATCCTTCTGCAGGTGAAGGCTGATCTTGTCTTCGCTGCCCCACTCAGGTGAAGCGTACAGGTTAAGGGGCGAAACGCTCATGACCCTGAGGTACCTGCTGAAGATGCAGAGGGATTCCCAACAATACCATTACGCTGACCACGCTGCCACCAGTGGCTACCAAGAATATCACATCTGTAGTTGCTCTTGCAGTTCCTGCTTGTGGCAAAGCATCACTGATGTTTATCTCACCTTTTTGTTTACAAGCAGATACCCTGTTCTTTCTTTTGATGTTTGTATGTTCAGATATTCATATAACAAAATATATACAAATGAATACCTAAATAAGGACATAGTAGTATACTTAAAGTATGATGTAAAGTTCACTTAAAGAAAACTTACGAGTATACTTGCAGTATAAAACTACTAAACTAGTAGTTTACTGAGACTATACTTCAAGGTGTACTAAAACTGCTACAATTATTTAATTAGTAAACTATCAGTATACCTATAAGTTCACTTTTAGTATAGTTGCAGTACAAACTAAAAACATAGATGCAAACTAGTTGTGTACTTAAAGTTTACTACTGTAATACTTAAAGTATACTTAAAAGTATACCTTTATATACTAGAAAGTGGGCCAATTTAGTCCTAAGGAGTATTGAAATAGTACACTTACAAGTATACTACTAGTACACTGATATTTGTATATACATAAAGTATACTTAAAAATATACTTGAACTTTACTTAAGTATGCTTAATAAAATAAACTTGAAGTATACTTCATTTTGGTAAGGGTAGTCCCAGATTAAAATGCATGTTTGAGCTGTCTGAACTGAAAATATCTTGCTCTGACATATCTTAAAAAATGTCAGTTCCATTGTTCTGTCTCAAGATGAACACATGTAACGTTTTCTTCTAAGGCATTTTTATAATAGCTGCTTAAATATCTTAATTTAACTAAGGCCTAGTCCTGGCTTAAGCTAAGCCCTGTCTGTGAAACCGGGCCTAAAAGTCTCAACATTTTAGTCTAGCTTTAGTCAATGAAAACTTGACATTTTAGCAATAAGATTACTATTAATGAACCATACAGCAGTATTCATTTTGGCAGCCATTTTTAATTTAGTCTTACTCAAATGTTCATATTAGTTATCTTATTTAATCAACCTTGTCCTGTTTTTGTTTAGTCAAGTTTAAGTCAATAAATGTATGAGCATTTTAGTCAGGTTTTAGTCAATGAAATCTTAGTCACATTTTCGTCATGCTGTATAATGGTTAAACTGGCAAAATTTATTTTTGCTCAAAATTATAATCATAATGAGTGTTGTCATTTGAGAACATTTCAGGTATTGCACTTTCACCAGTAAGCACAAATCAATACAATGTGGAATCATACATGGTGTATTTTACCTCATCAAGAGTACTTATTTATTATAGGCTTTTTACTATATAAGTTAATACAAAAGACTTTTTGTATTTTTATCTGCAATTTATCTGTCTACATTATGAAAACTGCTAAAACAAACGAAAAATATTATAACAGTAAAATTCGTAATTCCACTAATTCCAAATTGCAATAGCCTATTTCTCTATTAAAACAACAGCGGTTGAGTAAGTGCATTTATTCAGCAACCACAATCGCAAACAATATAGTCGAGATCTCATGACAGAACACAGACCAGCTGAGTGATGCTTTCATTTAGATCGTTAAACTCCAGCTTATTTGTTGGTGTTTTCAGATCATCGGCGGCGGCGCTTCCGCAATGAGGAGCGAGCGCGTGTGCATGGTTGCCAGATTGCTTAAAATATGCAAAACACCGGGCAGAAAATGTATCATTGTAACAGCGAAGCTCTGATTCGGGGATTTGAACTTTTGATATCTGGCAACCGCATTCATGAAAGCTTGCGTAGTAGAGGCCTGTAGAGCAGTCTGCAATAACATTTTGTCTCCTTTGTTTTGACGAAAATAAAAAGAGGTTTTTGGTCAAGTTTTTATTTTTTTGAATACATTTTAGTCTTGTCTTATTTCGGCAACGAAATTGCATGTTGATATAGTCATAGTTATCGTTTATTGACCTTATTATCGTCTCGTCTTCATCTCGTCTTAGTCATGGGAAAAAAGCTCGTCAACGAACATTTTTCGTCATAGTTCTCGTTAACGAAATTAACACTACTAGCAACATGCTAATCATGTTATAAACATGCTAACAACATGCTAAAAACATACTAATCATGCTAACAACATGTTAAACATGCTAAAAAAAAGTGCTGATCATGCAAGAAACATGCTATGAATGCAAATCATGCTAAAACGGGCCATATTTTAGCATGATTTCTAGCATGATGCTGGCATGTTTTAGCATGATTTCTATCATGTTTCTATCATGATGCTAATCATGCTAGAAACATGCTAACAACGTGTAAATCACATTAAAAACACGTTAGCAACATGTTAGTAACATCTCTCTAAACTTTCAAACTTCAAGCTTTTACAACTGCTTTAAACATTTCAGGCTAGGCTTTCTCAAGCTAACTTCAAAGTTTGTTCTCAAACTTTACTCATCTAGTTAATATTATTATCTTTTTTTTTTCACTATCTCTAAACTGGAAAACCTTTGTGATTATAATCCAACTGTAAATCCCTACAGCTTGTTACAGCTTGCTACCGGCTACAGCTTGGTTACAGCTTGTTTCACAAGAGTTTGATTTGTAAATTAAAAAATTTGTAAAATTTGCTTTGTATGAGGAGACCTTTGTGGTGTAATGCTCTATTTAATAACTGATTAACATATACTTTGTGTGTTAGACATGGAAATGGGCATTTGTATCATGTTTGAAAATGGTGGTTTAAGCAAATTTAAGTGTTTTAAGAAAATTAAGTTGAAAATATGAGCCTGACTGCTCTCAAATGGCTAGCCACTATACATTTCTGCTTCATTACCAGCAGTCCATCTTTAAACATGCTTCTCAGTAGCATTTACATTTTCCTTTTGTGCTTTACTAATGGTTTATTTTTCAAAGTTTCTTGTTTAACATCTGAATTCAGATTGGAGGGAGATTACTTATTGGGTGGCCTTTTTGCTTTACATGAAATTGACCGTGTGACACCTGTTTTCACCCCGGAGATCACTGAATGTTTCTGGTAAGCAAGGATCTTTTACCAGTCTAGGGTTATCAGTAATTTAAATCAAAGCAGCATTTCCTCAAAGTCACATTTCAATTACATGCTATTAACTTCCACACTTACGTTTTTAAGGCACAGTACCTCAAAATCTGGCTATAAAATATTGCAAGTAATGAGGTATGCTGTTGAAGAGATTAATAATTCCACAACACTTTTGCCCAATGTTTCTCTGGGCTATGAAATCTTTGACCATTGTTCTAACACAAGGAATTTCCATTCAGTCTTAAGTTTTATCTCAAAGAACGGCTCAATAAGACCTAAAGAAAAACTCAACAACTATCAGCCTAAAGTGATTGCTTTAACAGGACCATATGGAAGCTCAAGAACTATAACCGTTGCACCACTGATCACAATGGACCTTATACCAATGGTAAATTATGTTACTTTTTACACAGTTTACATAACAAACTGTTCACACACTTTATTCCTATATTTTGTTAAGGACTACCAAGTTATAATGCTAATGAGTTGGAGTGTTTTCTTCTCTTTCAAAGGTGAATTATGGAGCTGCTAGCTACACATTAAGCAATAAACTTCAGTATCCTTCTTTTGTAAGAACAATTCCTAGCAACAAAGACCTGATAGAGATGATTATTCACATCATACGGTGGTTTGAATGGAACTCGGTTGCCTTTCTTGGTAGCCAAGATGATTACAGTTCAGATGGACTAAAGCTGTTTAATAAGTATATAAACAATACTGGCATTTGTTTGGCCTATCAAGAGGGTCTAAGTCTAAATGCAAACTACAGTCTAACACTTAAAAAGATTGATAAGCTCAACATCAATGTCATTGTAGTTTTTGCTTTGACACAATATGCAAGCAAAATTATCAAAGCAGCCATAGCAAACAACATCCAAGACAAAGTATGGATTGCAAGTCATTCATGGGCTATGAATCAACAGCTTCCAAGAGAGCCAGGAATCAGGAAAATTGGCACAGTTATTGGCATTGCAGAGAGACTGTTGTCATTGCCTGGATTTAATGAATTTGTCTACAATAAAGCCAAAGGAACAGCTTATGCGGGCCACAATGACAAAGCTGTGAGTGATGTCCAGAGTAAGAATGAGACATGTAATCAAGATTGTGATTACTGCTCATTGATGACTGCAGAGGACATTATAAACGAGAGTCCCACACACTCCTTTGCCGTCTATTCTGCCATATATACCATAGCTCATGCATTACATAAGGTTCTTCAGTGTGACACGAATGAATGCCACAAAAACATAACAGTTAAGCCATACATGGTAAGTGAATTCATTTGAATCCATGACAAGTTGAATTATTATTTTAATTACATTATTGAAGTAATAATGTTTTAATTAATTGAATAATTAATAATATTTATGTTTAATGAAATTGCATTTTAAACATTGTGTTATTGCTTTCATTATTTTTACAATAGATCAATAAATAAAACAAAAGTAAGATAAATTTTATTAATATTATTGTGCAATTATTATAAAAAATGTTTCTTTATTGAAAACAAAACAGCTTCTGGAAGAAATAAAGTTGTTGAATTTTTCACTCAATGGCCGTCAAGTGAAATACGATGATAATTATGATCCAACCATCCGTTATGCAGTTGTGCTCTGGTGCACTGATGTGAATCCTCCACAGTTTAAGGTGGTGGGCATGTATGGTGGTTCTGTAAGTCTTTTTTTTTTGTTGTTGAACCTTCATCTAAACATTTAGCTGTACAATTTTATACATTTCTCCAAATGAAGGTCAATTAAAAGACTTCTGCTTTAGCAAAAAAAAAAAAATTATATATATATATATATATATTTAAAAAAAAGAAATATATATATATAAGAGTTCATTTGCAAAAACTGATAAACGCCACTTTCAAAAGAGAAATGAGCTGATTGCCGTGCATTATTCTCCACACATAGCGCGATCTGATCCCTAAACACATTTTGTCAAAAAAGCCGGTTTTGTCCACTTTCAAGGTATCGCGAGGTCACGTTTCACTGCAGAAGCCGACAAGCGCCATTGTTGTTTTTGAAGAGAAGCCGATAAGTCCATTTTAGCGAATCAGTGCGCTGTATTCAGGTCAGGTGACAAGGTGACTTTCACTTTGAAAAGATGTGCTAGCTGAGAGGAGTTTCGTCAAAGCTGACTAAAAGTGATCGAGGATGGATCATTTCGACAAACTTGATGAACCTGTGATATCTTCTTCGGGGCGAAAAAGGAAAATAAAAGCTGAAACGTTTTCAGTAGCAGTGCGTTATAATGGTGAGGGAAAAGCTCCATGTATTGCGTGTAATCACATCCATACAGTTTATGATCACAACAACAACAACGTTTGTCAGGCATCTACATTGTCATCTGAGGAGATTACAAAGATTAAATGAGTGTTTTTTTAAACTCTAAAACATGAAATGTGGAGTTATCGGCTTTTGCCAAAAAACGACTGTTGGAGTTATCTGCTTTTGCTGTAAAACAAATTTTTAATATGTAAAAAAATATATATACTTTCAATTAACTTTAATTTTGTAAATTACCTGTATTTGTTTAAGTTATTATTACTTAAAGTGGGGGTAAAATGCTGTTTCATGCATTCAGAGTTGTTTACACTGTTAAAGAGTTGGATTCTCATGCTAAGCATGGACAAAGTTTCAAAAAACAATTTGGACGTGTGCCAGAGTATTTCTGTGCCAAAAATCTTACTTCCGGGTTCGCACAAGTTTCGGAGAGTTTTTTTCGATCGTGGCTCTTCATGACGTAGACAAGGGTGGAACTCCTTATTTGGGAATTTCTCCTGGAAGAACGCGCCCGCGCACGCATCGACCAGAGCAAGAGCGAGATCGCACCCATCAACGCGCTTCATTCGGCGGCAGCGCTGCATGGGATTTGCTCGGGAAGAATGTCTCCAATCCAAAGAAGTGTGTTTTTGGTTGTAAGGGAAAGATAACTTTGTTCAGCTTCCTAAAGAACCCAATGTTATGTAAACAGTGGATACAGTTTGTTTTTCAAAAACATACTTTCAATTCACTTTAATTTTGTAAATTACCTGTATTTGTTTGTTATTATTACTTAATCAAAACAACCCAACTGCAGTTTGATTGATATTACTTGGAATGCGCAATAAAAAAACGTGACTTCTGAAAAAATATCAATAATATATAAGTTATCGGATTTTGCAAATGAACTCTTCATATATATACTGTATATATATATATATATATATATATATATATACAGTGGGTACGGAA